CCTTCTGGAGAGGAGAGATAATTCATCTTCTTCTGATGAGGACCCATCAGAGGTTTCTTCAATAGCCTGCAAAACCTTGGAGTTAGATTTTCTGTTAGATTTTAAAGCTAATGGCTTACCTTGCTTTTGAGGTTCATCAGCTTCTAGCTCTATCTCGTGACTTCTGAGGGAGCTGACAAGTTCCTCCAGAGAGATTGTGTTGAGATCTTAGCTAGCTTCAGTGCTGTGACCATTGGCCTCCACTATTTTGGCAAGCTTCTGATGATCTTCTTGACATGATCAGCAGTAGAATACCCTTTGTCCAGAACTTTGAGACCAACAACCAGAATCTGAAGTCTTGAGAACGTTGTTTCAATAGATTCACTTTCTTCCATCTTGAATGCCTCATACTTCTGAATGAGCGCAAGAGCTTTAGTTTCTTTGACTTGAAGGTTGCCTTCATGCGTCATTCTGAGAGAGTCAAACATGTTCTTAGCAGTGTCTCTGTTTGATATCTTTTCATATTTAGAGTAAGAGATAGCACTGAGAAGAATAGTTCTGGCCTTGTGATGGTTTTTGAAATCACACTTCTGTTGATCAGACATTGCTTTCCTGTCAATCTTCTGACCATTTGCATTCACTGGGTGCGTGTATCCATCTGTCACCATATCCCACAGATCAGCATCATGGGCTAGAAAAAAGCTTTCAATTTTGTCTTTCCAGTAATCAAAGTTCTCTCCATCAAAGACTGGAGGTTTGCCACTGAATATGTCTCTTTCTTTGTTGTTGTCATTGCTGATGTTGTGATATGTTCCTGCCATAGTGTTTTTCAACGCTGGATCTTGTACTGACACTGTTAAGTGTTATGAACTCAGAACCAGGCGCTCTGATGCCAATTGAAGAAGTGAAAAACACAAGAAGGGGGGTTGAATTGATGAAACTTGAAATCAAATGCAGACAACACGTTATTTTTATCCTGGTTCATTTGATCTCAAACTACTCCAGTCCACCCGTCAAGGTGATTTCGCCTCTCTCCAACGAGGTCTTAATCCACTATATTCAACTGAATACAAAACTGCTTTAACAACTGCTAAAGCCTTCTTGAGTCTAAACCATAGACCGGTTTCTCAAGGAAATTCTTTCTTACAGATAACTGAACAATTATGTGTGTTTGATGTTTTCTACAAAAACTATATATCACAACTGTGATAATACACAAATGAAGCTTATATGAAACTAGATTGCTAGAACTATAGAGTAAGCAGTTGAGAGCTTTAGCAAACTGAGTGAGTGAGGACGAAGATGATTAGCTTATGCGTATGTGCGTGACAGAGTATTGTAGAGCATTAGCCATTTCACTTCTCACTGATTTGTTTAAATACTTCTTGGAAAAGATACGTTGATGCCAATAATTCCATTTCAATGCTCATTACGTTCTTTCCATTTTAAAAAGATCTTTGTCTTGGAATAAAGCCGTTGGTAATAAATCTGCCTTGAATGCAGTACCGTTGACACTTCAGAATGTTCTGCTTGATTAAGATCAGAGTGTGTTGGCTTTAGCTTATTCTGATTGCTTTTGAGTGCTGATGACATTGTTAGGATCTTGATCAGAATCAGAGTATGTTGAGCGCAAATCTTGTTCGTCAGGCTTCAGCGTAAGGACATGTACTGATCTTCTGATGTGACATATCTTCTGATGCTGATGTTGATATTCTGATACTCTGATGCTGATTCCATCAGAGTTTTCTGTAAATACACAATATATTTTTAGGTAGCATCTATGTCATATATAAATCTCATAATTCATTTAATCTTGTATTTTGTTATCATCAAAACTCTAACTGAGGGTTGTAGAATCAAACTATGTTCTAACAACTTGATGTTGAGAAAAAAGAATATCCTTGTAGCTTGATGATAATGAAATCCAGGAAATAAAACCGTAGCTTCAAACAAATGATTGATGGAGAAATCAAATGAAATAAGCTTGTGCGAAGATAAGAGCCTTAAAGCCATACAACAATCCTAATTCTTCAATATCATTGATCCCTTGCTAAATTTATTGACTAATGAAGCATGATGTGTTAGATGACTTAATGAAGGTTATGTACATGAGAAAAATGCGAGATGCATAAGCCAGATAAAAGTAAAAGAGTAGGACAAATTTGAGGTATTACAGGTATGACCAACCCGATCAATAACATTAGTGTTTTGTTTTTGTTTTCGTATGTACATGTAACCTAAATTTAATATTAATATTTTCGATCCAGATGTCAATTATTATAAAAAAACACACAACACACACTAATGGCAATTGAATTGGCGTCATGTTTTAAATTTAACACATAGATACCAATTGAGTTAACAACACTAGGTGCATGCGCCAATCCAATTGACACTTCCTCTTATATTTTAAATGCATACCTCACACCTGACACAAGTGTTGTGCCTATTTTTTTTGAAAGTGAGATAAATTAAAAAAAAATTAAAATATGAATTATTTTGAGAATTTAAAAAAAAAGTGAATTATTTTAGTAAAAATTCACATCCATCATCAAAGAAATTTGCAAACAAGACAATAAAAATAAATAAATAGTAACTCTATTCCACACTTAAAAGTAATCACAAAGTTCCATATTATATATAATTATAGATGTAATTACACATTACACACAATATAAATTAAAACAAAACAAAAAAGTAACCAACCACATTTAAGGGATTCTCAACAACCTCAAAAGCAAAAACTTTGTTTCCTAGTGTTTAATTTCTGCCTAGTGATTAGCAGCATATTGATTAATGAGTGAAAGAGCATTACTAGTAACTTGAGCAACATTAACCATTCTAGATCTAATAGAGGCTTTGATTTTTCCATCAAGTGCTTTTCCAGCAAATCCATCACCACAAGTGCTTTCATCAGTCAAAGCTGAGCTAACCCATGTCTCAACATTACTTATATGCCAATTGAAATCTTGACCATTGATCTTGGAAAGTTTAAGCTCTTTCAATGAACGGGTAAGCCTATCAACACTATCACTAATCTCCTCAGCACAATCATGAAGAGCAGCATATTCTCTTGGTTTAAGATTTTTGAAGCTTTTGCACATTGTAACAAAGCCTTTTGTGGATTGAGTTTTGTCGAGGCTAAGTGATAAAGCTGTTTGGACTAATTGGTGAGTGTCTTGTTGGATTGTGGATGCATAGACAGAGAGAGATTGAACACAAAGTGTTGGGTATTGTGTTGTGCTACATGAGGATTTGATGAAACTTGTTGGTGTTGACGTTGCAATAGAGAAGAGAGTTAGGAGAAGAAAAAGAAGGGTAAACTTTGTTGCCATGTTTGAGATTTGGTAGTATGAAAAATACAAGATTTTGTTTTGTGGTAGGTTTGTGAATTGTGAGAATGATATTATATAGAGATGTAGATATGGGGCTTTGGCTGGTGACTGAAGAGTCAAGAGTTCACAGCTATTTGAAGTATTGTTGGAAGTTAAAATGTGAACACTTTTTCGAATCACTGTCTCTCACAAATCATGCCGTGTTTTTTTTTTCTTTTCGGTCTGAGTCGGCACATGTGCAACTTCTAGCTTTATCTTACTTTGTTATTCTTAAATTAAAGTGTTCACACTCAAAAGTAATTGGTTGGATCTTACCAGATTAATAAAGAAAACCAGGAACAAGACGCGGTAGAAATATTAGATTTGGGTCTGTAGTCATGTATTAAATTAATTAATGCATAATATTATTTTATACTTATTTTTCATTCTATCTATATAATATATATAATAATTATAAGATGAATATTTAGACAAATTTGACCGGTAGTAATTTATCCGCCTTTCTTCTATTTATATTTTATCTATAAATAGAAACTTCTTTTAAATGTATTATTATTATATTTTTTATTATTTGATTAATTATTCTAATAAGACATTGATTATTATTTATATTATCAATCAATTTTGTTTATTACAATCCATAAATCATCTCCGAGGCTCCAACCTTCTTATTCTCATAATCTCAGTCTACTACAAGAAATATCATTTTCAGCCACGTGATTATCATGTGATTAAAAAAAGTCAGTTGCAACGTGATAATCACGTGGCAACATGTTTTATTAATAAAATAAAGAAGTCTGATGGTTGGTTGACTTTTTTTTATAAAAAAAATATGTTGCTACGTGGGAATCACGTCACTAGTAAAAATCACTACTAAAAAAAAGACATTTGAGAAAAGGTTTTTACATCGGGTATCAAAATATATGATGTAAAAAATACAATTAACAAACTTTTTACATCAGGTATTTATTTGCAATGATATAAAAAATATGAAAAAAAAATATATTTCCCTACCTATTACATCGGGCAAACGCATCCACCGATGTAAAAAGTTTTCAGAAAAAAATACAGTGGCATTTTTGTAAATAAGAAACAAGGTAGTAGAAATATTAATAAAAAACATACAACATATTACATCGGTTGACTAAAAACCGATGTAATATCTTCACAATAGATATTAATATAAAAAATAAATTAAAGAATAAATTAATTTTTTTGTAACTTATTACATCGGGTATTACAATGCACCGATGTAATAGGTGCATTGTAAAAAAAAAGTCAGAAAAAAAACTTGCCAACCCTTACATCGGGTATTACAATGCACCGATGTAATAGGTGCATTGTAAAAAAAAAAATTCAGAACCCTTACATCGGGTATTACAATGCACCGATGTAATAGCCATCCAACCCTTACATCGGGTATTACAATGCACCGATGTAATAGGTGCCAAACCCTTATTTCCCAAACAGTAGAAAAATTACAACTCCATTTTCCCTTGTTCGTGTTTCCGATTCTGGTCGCTTCCGATTCCGATTCCGTCTTCCTTAACCTCGCTTTCGATTCCGATTCTGCATGCCCGCCCGATTCCGATTTCGTCTTCCTTAATAAAACAGCAGCACCACATCTAAACACTGAAACACCACCACTCCGCCGAGTTAACCCGACTAAGTCGAATCTGCAAAACCATGTCGAAGGACGAAGGAACCGTCGTTTCCGATCTGATCAACTTTCTCAACGCATCTCCAACTACTTTCCATGCCGCCGGTAATAACCAAAACCAACTCCTCTCTTCTCTCTCAATTCGCAACTCATCATTCACTCACCGATTTCCTTTTCAGCCGAGGCCAAGAAACAGTTGCAAGCCGTCGGATACGAACAAATCTCGGAGAAGGAAGTTTGGGAACTAAAAGCCGGTCACAAATACTTCTTAACCAGAGACCATTCCACCATCGTCGCTTTCGCCGTTGGCAAAAGGTTCATTTTCTTCTTCTTTGACGATAATCAATAACGCATCGTTTTTCATTTTTCTTTCTCAGATATGTTGCTGGAAATGGATTCCATATAATTGGTGCTCACACCGATAGTCCTTGTTTGAAACTGAAACCGGTGTCAAAGGTTATTAATTAATTTTATGTTAACTTTGATTAGTCAATACATTTTGGATTAATGAGAGAGGTTTAGGGTTTAGTTTGGGTTTATTTATGCAGGTGGTTAAGGGTGGAATATTGGAGGTTGGTGTTCAAACCTATGGAGGAGGTTTATGGTACACGTGGTTTGATCGGGATTTGACTGTGGCTGGGAGGGTTATCTTAAAAAGAGAAAATGCTGGCTCTGTTTCGTATTCGCATCGCCTTGTTAGAATTGAGGAACCTATAATGCGTGTCCCCACTTTGGCAATTCACTTAGACAGGTTTGTGTTGATGTTGATAATGTGTGCATTGTTTCTTTGTTTTGCTTGGTATATGATTAGTTTATTGTGGTGTTTTTTCCCTTTGGCTGATTCTGTGTAGAGGTGTTAATGATGGATTCAAAGTAAACACGCAGACTCATCTTGTTCCCATTCTTGCAACGTCTCTAAAGGTACTCCTGCATTTCTAGTTGATTCGAGCTTCTTGGCTGTTTATGGAATATTCGTTGGAAATTATCTTTAACCTGACTGTAATGCATGTGTTTTAATGCTTAGTTTTGTTTTCATTTTTGACTTTAAAGTTAATTTATTGGCAGTGGTGAAACTTTGAAGGTTTTTGTGAGGAGGTCAATTTGCTTAGTGTTTGTATATATACAATTTTTCCGTCAAGTTAGTGATTGATATTGGTGGTTCAGTGTTTAATCATGGTGACCTTTTGCTCCCTGAACATGGTTTGACTCCTACCTGGGTTCAAACGCAGATTATGCTCCTTTATGATAAGTCCACTTTGTCTCTGGACCGCTTCGTAAACTGGTTAAATGTGTGCACAACATAATATAATATAACATGATACTATAATATGTGTATATACCTATTTAGAATGAATTTTTTTGTAGAAGTTGTGGCCTCCCGATGTCCCTATAAAGATCCACCAGTGATTATAGGAGGTTTTGTTAGTATGATTGTACGGGGATAGACAGCTCAGTTATTGGCTAAACATATGTTTCATTGTATTGCATGAGATTATTTCTACATGATAAACTGTATTTGTACTTCTATTAGCATGCAAAATTGCTAGTTAGTACTTATCTTAATTTTTTGTATTCAATCTTTGATGCAATACTTTTGGGTGTGTGTACTTTGTTTCTCTGTCTACTGAGTTGATTAAAAAATTATTGAAGCTCCTACTGACAGTGCTCACTTGGATTAAAAGTGTTCCTTTTCAATGGTTTGGATTTAGATTTTATACATTCATTGAAATTTGGTGTGCAGGCAGAGGTTAATAAAGTGTCCTCTGAAAACGGCTCAGTTGAAAGTGGAAAGCAGAATGACGGAAGGAAAGAAAATGATAAAACAGGGTCTAGCAATGCAAAGCACCACCCTATACTTTTACAGGTTAACTGGCTTGAAACTCACAATGCCTTTGTGATGCTTTAACTTTAATTATATTTCTGTTTTTGTTTTTTCTGGGATTGAAGTGTTAATACTTCGGAACGTGGTTTTAATGTGTAAGTAGTAAATCCTTAACATTGGCCTAGGCATGTATACCTGACATTTATCAATCCTATTATTGTTGATTGTCATTCTTCCTCTTATCTCCAGTTGCTTGCAAGTAAACTTGAGTGTGAACCAGATGACATTTGTGATTTTGAATTGCAAGCTTCTGATACACAACCAAGCATAAACAGTAGAAAAATTACAACTCCATTTTCCCCTGTTCGTGTTTCCGATTCTGGTCGCTTCCGATTCCGATTCCGTCTTCCTTAACCTCGCTTCCGATTCCGATTCTGCATGCCCGCCCGATTCCGATTGCCACCGCGACTGCCTTATGCCCGCCCGATTCCGATTCGGTAATATTCTTTGACCGCCGTTTCGGCCGCCGTTTCCGATCTTCCTCTTCGACCGCCGTTTCCGATTCCGATTCTGCATGCCCGCCCGATTCCGATTGCCACCGCGACTGCCTTATGCCCGCCCGATTCCGATTCGGTAATATTCTTTGACCGCCATTTCGGCCGCCGTTTCCGATCTTCCTCTTCGACCGCCGTACCAGAGACAGGAAATCCAAACGGTTTATGGTTTACATTGAAAGAAGGTTGTCGTTATAGGATGATGTTTACATTCCAAGTAAACCATAATATTGTTTCTGGTCTTAAATACACCAACACTGTTTGGAAAACTGGCCTCAAAGGTAAGTAACTATATCTTAGATGATTGATAAGATTAAATTAATAGTAATCTTGTAGTAATTTGTGAGGTTTGTTACAGTTGATAGCACTAAAGAGATGATTGGAACATTCAGCCCTCAAGCAGAACCTTACACACATGAAATGCCAGAAGATACAACACCATCTGGGTTATTTGCTAGAGGGACATACTCTGCTAGAACTAAGGTATTGTTTCTATCTCCAAGAATTTGTCGTTCTTCCCCTTGAGTTTATCCTTCTATGTGATTGGCTCATGCAAATCTTATAAATATAAATGGTCTTCTATCATTGGCTTCCATTACGTAGGATTGTCATCCATTAGCTTGAACATATCTCCATTATGAGTGATATAACTTTCCTTCTTGAACTATACATGACACAATTTTTTTCAAACAACAAAATTAGTGTCATATACTAGAATAAAAATGAGTTCATGAATATCGTGTAATTGGTAAGTTCCCAAGAAATATACGTGAGTCAATAATTACGCTTAAATTCTAAATCTTTCCTTAACTAGAACTTTTCTAGACATGCATTAAAACACTAACACACTTTATTTCTAACAACAAGAATATTTCTTTACTGATGTAGAATATCAAACACTATTTCTTGCATACTGAGCAATATTTTCTTGTAAATACAACACCTTACTATCATAAAGCTCTAAGAATTTTCATATCACTATTGGAAAATGTCTGCATAATTTCCCAATAATTTATTAAAAACAATTTTTAATTTTTTAAATTCATTGAATATATATTAGTAATTGTACAACAATATTTTATTATGCAAATTTTGTATTTTAGGAATGCAAGGCTCTTTGATGGAATGGAAGAAAATGAGTATATGGACTAAAAACTCCCTCCTCGTGTGCTGCGCGCTGTTAGAGATTTAAGACTCTTATTTGGGCATTAAAAGTCTTATGTTTACATTTTCAAACATTATAATTTTTATGTTTTTTATATATTTTATGTTACTTCAAATAAGTATTTAGAGTAATTTTTATTGTGGCAAGTCTGAGAACTTATATTAAAATTATCAATAAATTTCTCTGTCATAAATATAGTCTGTGTGATATTGGAAAAATATAAAAAAATGGATACAAATTATATTTGTACAGGGAAACATCCAGAAAATAAATAATCTATTCCAAAAAAATTTCATACATTTTACATCGGTTATTAGTAAAAACTGATGTAAAAACTTTCAAAAAGGGACTTTTTACATCGATTGAGGATAATAACCGATGTAAAAAGTCGCGTCACTGGGGACTTTTTACATCGGGTATTACTTCCAACCGATGTAAAAAACTGGATCAATTTTTTTTAAAAATGTGCATAATAACTGTTTCTTACATCGGTTCATATATTATAACCGATGTAAAAAAGGGACTTTTTACATCGGGTATTACTTCCAACCGATGTAAAAAACTGGATCAATTTTTTTAAAAATGTGCATAATAACAGGTTATTACATCGGTTCTGATATTATAACCGATGTAAAAAAGGGACTTTTTACATCGGTCCCAGAACCGATGTAAAAAGTCTCTGATTTACTATATCGCCTGACTTTACATCGGACCCAGAACCGATGTAAAAAGTCAATTTCACCCGATGTAAAAAGTCATTTCTGCACTAGTGAATATAATATAAAATATTTTAATTGATCTAACGTTCAGATGGATGGATTTTTGAAATTTTAAAAAAGTAAGTTGTGACGTATTATTCACGTCGAAACATTTAAGAGAGAAAAATCAAATCAATACAGACTGGCATGATCAGCTTTTGCAGGCATGTGAAGAAAGAGAATATGATTGTTGACATTGTTGCGACGTGAAAGTCACGTGACAAAGTTGCGGCGTGATTTTCACGTTGCTAAATGGTTTATATATTTAATTGCATCGCGTTACACGAAGCAGACAGTATATTGTCATCAAACAATCAAACACTCTTCTTCATTAACCCTCTTCTCATTCCATCCCTCCGTTACCCCTCAACTTCTTCATAAAATCTCTTCTTCTCCATTATAAAATCCAACTTCAATCCCCATTAGTCCTTGTTTTTTCAGGTAAATTTAATTTAATTTTGTCTCTATTTTGTTTACAAGTTTTTATTTATTATATTATGGGATTGTAATTTATTTTAAATTTTTTTTGAATAGAAGAAGATTGATATAGTAGAAGTAGATTGCAAAAAGGTTGGACAAGAAGATTGAAGGAGTTAGAAGATAAGAGGTATTTCTTGGAATTTTTTTTTACATTTAGTATATTTTCTGAATTTAGTTAGATTTTAGGTTGAATTTGGTTAGATTATAATATTGTAATTTTCATTAAATATATATCTTGATTTATTTAATTTATAAAAACAGAATAATATATAAATTTTATAAAAACAATTTTAATGTTAATATATATTTTATTTAAAACAAATATAATATAATATTTTATGTATTGATTAAAAACATATATAAAAAAAATAGTTTTTTGTATTGAATAAAAACATATTTAAAAAAACTGTTTTAATATGTATATATTTAGTAAAAACTGTTTAATGTTATTATTATAAAATCTGTTTTATAATTAAAAAATATATATATTTAATGTTATTATTTTAAAACTCTTTTATAATTATGCATATATGGGATGATGACGATTTTGGTGTGGACGATGATCAGATAGATGGGAGAGATCTTCGAGGGGATGATGATTCGAGTGAGATTCATACCATTGATGGGAGATTTTGGATTTGGCTTGAAGGGAACTCGTAAGTTTCTCATTTATTGATTTTTATTTATAAGTACACATTTCCATTTTTAATATAACTTTATATACTTAATTATGCTAATTCAATTATTGTTGTTTTAGTTTCGGGCCGAGTCGGACTGCTGCCAGGGTTATAAATTATATAATCTAGCAGAATTATACAAATTTTTTGAAGAGTTTTAGAGAAGTTTCGGATAAAGACGAATGGTTTAAACAATTTCAGGTATAATTAATTTATTTCTTAAGTTATTTTTATTTAAATGACCTTTTCATTATTGTTATAATTTATCTAACTATTTATTTTAATGTCATACAACATTGCAGGCGAAATGTGTTTGGGATCCACTGAACCATAACAAAGTTAAAAAAAATATTTTGGCAGGAGTTCAAGACGACTTTCTGACATGCTACGACGTGTTAGACAGAATTGGCAACTTTTGGGAATTCGTCCCAAATGGATAGGCAAAGAAGTTTTTGAACAACTTCTTAAGTAATGGGAATCGGATGAATTTAAAGATAAATCTGAAATTGCAAAGAAGATGAGGGCATCGGAAAAAGGGGTTGCCTTAATGCTGTTGGAATATTAGTAATGCTGAGCATGCTCGACGCATGGTAATTATTACCACTTTTAAAGTCATATTTGGATTTATAACATATATTATTAATTTAAGTTAATTTTTTTATTTAGGCTAAGCGTTTGGGGAGACAACCATTGATGACTGAGCTGGTTACCGAAACTCGGACAAAGAAATCGAGGGAATTTATTGACGAGCGTACAAAAAAAGCCCTGGTAAGTAAATTTATGTTTATATTTTTTTCATTTTTTAAGCAATTTTGTGACGTGATTTTCACGTGACAAGTGAGATGTTGTGGCGTGAAAATTGCGTGGCAACTGATAAGTTGTAGCGTTACAATCACGTGGCTATATATTTTTTTTTATTATTTTATTTAATTTAATTTCATTAACTTTACTTATATATTTAACTTGATTTTTTTATTGTATGTGTAGGAGGATTATCAGGCCTTACTTTTAGAATTTCTGACCCATAATCCTCAGTATACTCCTCCTCCGGGAAAACTCGTTCATCCAGATGTGGATTTCTATATTTGGAGTCAAGTAGTTGGGGGAAAGGGGCCTAACGGGTACTTTTTTGGTGGTGGAAATTTGGCGGGCACCTTGAGAAGTGGGGATAGAACTCTGTATCAGAGAGCTGCAGACGGTGATGGAGGGTCACGTCAAACAAATTTGACATCAGATCAGTTAGAAACGGTAAGACAATTGGCTAGACGCGAGTCCGAAGAACGTGAGGCCGCATTGAAGGCCCAAATGGAGGCGGCATTGAAGGCCCAAATGGAGGCAATGAGAGGTGAACATAATAGAGAAATGGAGGCAATGGTGAAGAGGCAGGCTGATATGGAGGAGAAAATGCGATAATTTATGCAAGCATTTGGTGGAAATCCCAACAATGGTGGCCAAAATAATAACCACCAAAACAATGGTGAAAATGCTCCATTATAACATGGCAATCATGTGTCTTTAAACTCTTTAACTTGAGGTCTTTCATAGACACAAGTCTTCTAATATCTAAAGAGTATCCTTCTGGAACTTTAACTTCACTTAGAAACTTACTGTTGTACCCCAAAATTTGCCCTCCCATTTCCTCAACATTTTCTCATCACAAGACATTTAAAGATCAAGATACAATTAGGGTTTCCTCTGCTCAAGACTTCTCCTTGCACTGTGGACTCAAATTAGGGTTTGTGTTTGCCTAAAGATGTTTTGACCTAAAATGCCTAAGATG